TGTTCTTTTCCGTTCCATAGTCTCAAATAATTATCCACTGATGTTGATAAAAATAAAGTTGCTGAAAATATAAAAGTACACAGCGCAAAAAAAAGGAGGAGAGTTCTATATCTCCCGTTCTACTGGGCCGATTGACTAAATTCAACTTGCGTTTTTTATGTCTCGAAGCGTGATTTAGGATATGTATTAGATTTATACATAGCGTTGTTCTAATATAAGTATTTTGACACAAAAATCGGACTTTTTCTGAAATGGCATGCCAATTTCCTTTTCCATATTTCAATTCTATGACTCAAATTACACCAAACCGCCAAGTATTGTAAAAATCGCACGAGTAGTTTTTTAAAAATTAGCACTCAAAGTTTTAGCTCCTCGATGTTAATTGAGTTTGGTATATATTTATATATATATCTCTTTTTTATTAAATTTATTTAATTCTTCCTTTCACATTTCGAAATTTAGGTCCATTCCAAACAACATTAGCCCATTTTTTATGATTTATTTTTAAAATTTGTGTTTTTAAATAATTTTTAGAAATTTTTCGAAAAACATTTTGAATTATAACCTGTAAAATTTTTACCATCATTTTAAAGTAGATGTATTTCTGTGTATACCTGCAAAAAAATAGAATTTTTATTGCAAATTTCCGAAGATATACGTGAATTTATATATACTGGCACGTTTTGAAATTTGGCATATTTGTTGAAGGCGATAATAACATCAAATGTGGTTTAGGCACTTAGTTAAAATTATTTGAAAGTAAGAACGATGTGACTTTTTCCGCTCATCCACAATGTAATAGGTAGACACGATGTGTCATTTTTTCCTTTCCTGCACATTGGAAGGGAAAGGAAAATAGGTTGCCATATATTAAGAAGTTCGCCAAATGAACTATTCTTGGCGCAAACTGAAAAAAAAAAAAACGCGTTATGGTAATTTTTGAAATTCCCCGTAAATTTCGCACCAGATTTTAAAAAATTTAATATTTAGGCATAATTTAGATCGTAGAATCGAAATATGGAAAAAAATGGTATGTTATTTAAAAAAAAATCCTATTTTGTGCCAAAATACCTATGTTAGAGCAATGCTATATATAAATGTAGTATATCCTAAGTTGCGCTTTGGAGACATGAAAAACGCAATTTTAATTTCGTCAGTCGGCCCAGTAGAACGGGAGATATAGAACTGTCCCATTTTGTTTCGCAGCGTATTTGTAAATTATTACATTGAAATGAAAAATAATAGTAATAATAATAATTAAATAATAATTATTATTATTATTATTTTATGCTTAAACATACAGTTATAATAGATTATTTGCAACTATTATTGTAAGTTATTAGATACTTTCTTTTTTTTCTGTACAGAAAGATTTATTTACTCGCATAACTTCTAAAGTAATTTTATATTTTCACGAAAATGAATACAAAAAAAATTATTGACATTAATTATAAAAAATAATTTCAATCCATATATTATAAAAATTAATTTTTGTCATATAAAATGCTATCAAATATTTTTGCTTTCTGGTAAATTGTAATATTTTTCATTCATTGAAAAAGTGCGATCTTGGTCATAAGTTTCATTTGTATTCGAAAACGCCTACACTTTTAGAAAGCAAAATAAACGATAAGAAAATCCAATAAAAACTTCTGAGCACACGTTCATGAAATTTGAACCTAGACGAGGACGCGCGTGGGGTAAATAGAGCCCCAAAATAATATCTAAGGTAATTATTTACTAAATAAAAAAATTTGGTCTTACAGGTTATGATCTAGATGACAAATACTTACGAAATTAAGTGATAGTGAATCGTTCTTTAAGAGAAGCATTATATTTTATGGAGGTGGGGGTCAAACACAGACCCCGCGTGAGTGCTTGCGTGTTGATGTGGTGGTTGTCGATTAGGTTTATTCAGCCATAAGAGAATTGGTCGATAAACGACTGTGAACATTGAATTTGGTCGTAGCAATATAAAATGTTCCTAAATAATACAAATAAAGCTAAAATGGTTGTGATAAAATATGATAATCTTATGACACTTTGAAAAGTGAATCAAAAAAGAAACTTCCGAGACACGACACTTTTAGAACTTCAACTATCGCCTTTAATATCCCTTTCTAAACGCACAAAAGTAACATACCCTGTTGTTGTTGTTGTTGTTTTTATAAATAATATATGTTATTTTTAATTGAATAGACCGGCAAAGTAAACTCTTTTCCTGTGTCGAACAGATTAATTACTCCTACTTAACCCTAACCTCTCCAACCTTTCCACCCATATTCTAGAATAAATTGATTCCCAGAATGACAGCCAGTTGCCGTTGCCAAACTATGAGAACTTAATTAAAATGCTGGTGAGTGTATCTCGCGACTGCTGGTGCATGCAACAGCGAACGGCTAAAAATATCGCCACCGAAATCAATGGCTAGGACCACAGTCGTTTATCGACCAATCCTCTTCCTCTTTAGCTCGCTGTCCCCTCGAATGAACCTTGATTGGGGAAGAACCGAGCCTTCTTTAATGTAATTAACCGTAAAATAAATTGTTAGCGGAAGTTGGAATTAATGAGGGGTTATCTCTGGGCCGCGGTTAACTGAGAAAGAAACGAAAAAGTAAAAAGAAAAGATCCCTTAAGAATCCTTAATTTGAAGAAGTTCGCTTCGGCAAAGCCAATTTTTTTTCTCTGGAGCAAGGAGCACTTTTTATCTTTGATTAGTTTGTTAAAGTGCTAACTATTTTCAGATATGGTTTATAAGTTCTGTGGCTTGTGAATTAGCATGATTAAATATTTATTATGGTAAATTTAATAGAAATTTCGGTATTGTTCACTGTATCAGAATCTTAGATTAATTGAATTATTAGACTATTGTCATACAAGTATATTATACGCTTAAAAGCTATTCTAATATTTTAATAAATTAAAATATTTTCTAAGAGGTAACTCTTTGAGAGATAAGCATAAAGTACTGTGGAAAATTCAACGGTAGCAAGATTATTTCTTGGCACCGTTGAATTATTTCTTACTACCGCTTAACAATTGAATTTTCAAAGCCGGGAATTTTTTTGAGTTCTATTCCAAGCAGCTTCGTATTTTTCCTCATATTGATGGGTTTTTTCCCGAGGAATTTCTCCACTAAGGCATCCCATCTCATAAACAGGTACCTTTCTCTGATCTAAACCAAACCATCGATCCAGTCTTGTGCTTTTGAAACTATAAAGAGTTTTTTTATGTTAGGTTTTTCTTATGGTTTTAAAAACCAATAAAGTTCTTATTTTGCATAAGGCTAAAGATGAATGGATTGTATTAAACTGGACTGGATTATTTTGATTAATAAAAGCACGTAAAAGCTACGGGGCTGGATGACTCCACGCAGAACTTTCTAAGAAAAAATGGCATGTATTTACTTTGCGCATGACGAAAACCATGAAAATTCTGTGTACCCAAGCCCGTACACTGGAATTTGTGGCTGAGCTGCTAGTACTGTACAGTTTTATCCAGTCAACTACTAGAATGAAAGAAAGAAATGGTTTCTACAAAATTTTTCTTCAAAATGTAGTTATAGTAATTTTAACAAAAGTATTCAAAGATAAACAATAATATTCATTGTTATAAACACAGATAATGTGTTTTAATCTCAAAAGACCAATTTTGGAATTTAAATCAGATAAGTTTTGCACGTGATATGATTCCGATTTCTAACTTATTGTTTCATTTTTGACCTCTGCATTCGTAATTTAACACAGTAAGCGCATTAAGTGCTCATTTCATTACAATATGTTTAGCGCAAGATTTTAGTATTTCTGTACCCGTTTCGTTGGTAATGTATATTTATAAATTTTGGAATATGGTAAAGTAAATACGGATCGTTTTGTTTCGTGTCAGACACTTTCTTAAGATACTAATCATTGAAAGCGACTAATATTTCTGAGAACACAACACGGATTAGAACGTCGTGCGAAGAAGGCCGAATTTATAAAGACCAGAATCTTCTGGAACTGTTGATAATAAAGAGCGAGCTCACTGTATTTTGTTTCACGGAAGCATCAGGCAGTTAGCTAGATTACCAGTTTTAGTTTCCATTACCTAACCAATGAACCAGTGGCAGCCATTCGTTCAATTAAAACACCGTTAAAAATACAATAGAATTAATTATCTTTTTGGAAGTACAACATACCAAAAAAATTTTAATTGGACAAAAAAGCAATCTTAGACTGGATAAATTTTAAATAAAATTTTATCGATTTGGAGGGTGATTATACAAAGATCTCTTTCCTTTATGGATACATATGTTCCTCTTCTTCAAGAGCTCTTGGAAAAGAGGACCATATATAGGTCTCTTCTTCAAGAGCTCCGGAAGAAAAGGAACCTATGTCTCTCTTTTCTTCAAGAAGAGAAAGAAGAGAAGCTTTTATCTGTCACTTTTTCAAGAGCTCCTAAAGATGTGAACCTATGCCTGTCTCTTCTTCGAGAGCTCCTGAAGATGTGAATCTATGTTGTCTTCTTTAACAGCTCTTTCAGAAGCGTAACCTGTGTCTCTCTCTCTCTGCTTGAAGAGCTTCTATAGACGGGAACCAATGTCTGTTTCTTCTTCAAGAACTCTTTGAGAAGAGGAACCTATGCCTCACGCTTCTTCAAGAGCTCCTGAAGAATAGGAGCCTGTGTTTCTCTGAAAACGAGTCTATGTCTGTGATTTATGTCTGATCGCTGCCCAAATCGACAGAGTTTTATTCAAATGTCTGCGGCGATCTAAGATTGCTTTTTGCTTAATTTTGAAAGCCATCTTAGTTGAATTAATTTGAAGTCATCAATAAGTGTTCTTTTTAGTGGCCCAGAAACTAAAAAGAATAGTTTTTTTTTTTTTCAATTTTCTCCCTTCTGTATCTATATTAGATAATTTCGTAAAATCTTTTCTGCGTTCTTCCAACATTTGCTTAATGTAATTTCATCTTGTATTTCTCTCCAATTTACATTTTTTGTGTATATTCTGTTTCTTTCAGGATACTTTGCTGATACTGATGACCTTTGATTATCAAGCACGAAAGCTTTAACATGAGACCCCCGCGAGACGGGAACTGTCCTGTGCACAATCGTCTGCTTGCTCAACAACATCCTGCAGCATCATGATCAAATATATATGCTTTAACATCCAGCTACAAAATTTGTCTTTGGAACTCTCTACGAAAAGCAACTTTGAAGGACTTATGATGTACTGCACCCTAGCACCAGGATAAAATTTGAGAATTAATATAGACTAGGAAAAGTAATTTACACATTCGTCTTCTTACTGTGAAACATAACTTATTTCAATGTTTAGTTGCTTAAACTGTAATAACATTCGGTGTAGTTGACAGTGTTTGTGTGATTAGTATGTCTCTGTACGGAGAGGAGAGATTTTATGAGAGTCTGAAGAAAGAACCCGAAGACCGAGACAGTGATGTAAGTATTTATTAGTTTTGCAAATTTTCACAGATTAGTTATTTGTTCATTAGCTGAAGGCCGATGATTTATATGCTTACAATCCTAAGTAGAAATCAAAAACTTCAAAATTATGTATCTCGAGGGACATATAAATGTAACAAGTCCGTACAAAAAAATGATCGGATCAAAAATATATATATATATATATGTGTGTGTGTGTGTGTGTGTGTGTGTGTGTGAAAGATAAAAATAATGAATCAAAATTATAGTTTAAACTATAAACGTTAATTCTTCCTCTTTATTCTAAAATCGTAATAACTTCTCTGCATTGCGTCATTTCTAGATCACTCTATGGCCCGCGCAGCTCTGATGACGTAATAATTTGGAACTGAAACTGCCATTGTAAACCAAAACTTTTCTCTTCGCCGTGCTTCCATCTTTCATAACTACGCACTTCAGCTTTTGCTCTCTACTGTGCTAAGATGTAATTTCGCTGGCTTGCTTTCTATCTCAACAATATCAAAAATGTAAATCTTCTGTGGAAAGGCACGACTAGAGTGCCAACTGATTGTGGCCACAAATATCAGTTGCAAATAAAAATGGAATTAAAACTGCCTCGACTGCCAAGGTTCTTTAGATATTACCAAGTTAGCATTACTAGCCTACTACGCAATCAAAATCTTCTTCAATATGGGTCTAATCACGCATCTACAGTGTTCCGTCTTTTCCTTTTGCTTTTATTTCTGATGTACCAGCTTTTGTCTGGAATAAATAGATTGGCGAAGAAATATAGATGTAGTCGTAGCTTAAATTGTCAGACGATAAGTTTAAAAAACAGGATCCATTTATTATTGGTCAGGAGAAATAGCAGTTACAAAATCAGATATCCGGAGTAAATAAAAAAGAATTACTAATAACTTTTTGTATGAATTTTACTGCATCGTTACATTAAAGAAAAATCCCCGATATTCTTTTGTGAGTCCTTTTATAGCCTCTGGAAAGGCGGAGCTTCCAAGAAATGGCGTCAGCCATTGCAGTTCGCTTTAAATATTTCCAGAACATTTTATAACTGTGCGTGTAGAAAAGGCGGGAAAAACAACTTGACTACGGGACTGTGGATTTAATTCCACGTACCTTCAAATAAGAGACCGTCGCCATTAAAAAATGAAAAGTACATACAGTGAGAATTTTAAGATGTATTCTTGACTATGGAATTTTATTATTACATATATATATATATATATATGAAACTTTTGGATTATTTTTGTGTTATTTTTATGCTATTTCCATTAGAATTTCCCCTAAAGTGCTCAGCAAGGTAGTCCTCTTTCGAAATACAAACAGGAGTTTGAATTATCCTACGTTTTCTGAGTTTCTGTAATACCTTTAAAGAAGTCGATCCTTCGACCTCATTAAAGGCATTCCAGAAAGATAATTCAATGCTCTGGAAGAAAGTTATTTCAAGAAATCACAGACACTTTCTCCTTTGTCTGTCAATTGACGGGGAAAAATTTTTTTGTGAAATGATAGTTCCTTTTTTTAAAGCGTGCTATTTAATGAAGAAAATCTGTATATGTACAATATAATGTATAAAAGTACCGTAATAACTAGCCTAAGTAATGCCTAAAGTTGTTACTATAAAAATGAAAATGCATATAATGACTTCAACTAGTATCATTTCAAGGGTCTAACTAATAGCTTATTGTAAAGTGGAAGAACTGCATGTTTATTGTTTTTAAATGACATAGTTGGGTAATCAGTAAGAGACAGACTGAATTTGAAAGGAAAGTTAAACACTTTTCTCTTTGCTGAATGGTAACACACTGGAGCATGAAAGATTAAATTATTTTATTTCGGGCAGTGGTACCACATTTATATTAAATTTCTGAGCTTGTTGACTAAATTTGAAAGACTTATAATACTGCACTTTAGTGAGTGGCAACATTATTTCTTTTAAATATCTGAGATTTATGATTAAATATTAAACATACATGTCATGCTTTGTCCAGTTCCAACCCATTGCTTTTAAATAGCTGAACTTGTTAGTCCAGAGCTCCTTAAATTCGCACAAAACTGGAAATAAATAAATCTCAAATTCGGAATCCGAAATTCGGGCTTCGAAGTGCCCATGTTCATATTTGGAGGACTTCGTGCGTTCGAAATTTTGTGGCTGTAGATACCACGTTTTTCTGCAATGCGAAAAAAAAACTGCATTTTGCGTAGTGGCAACACATATCTGTTATATCTCTGAGTTTCCTAATTAAATTTGAAACATTTGAATCATCTTAATAAAAAGAGGGGCAATACAAAGCTTTTAAAGCTCTAAGTCTGTTATTTAAAATACAAATAATATTAATTTGATCGAGTGTAAAAAAACATTTCTCTTAAATATCTGACCCCTCAGGGGGCTCACTTTTGTGAGTACGGGTGCGGCAATCCCGAGGTACCCTAGCCCTTCAGGGGATCATCTTCTTGGTGAGACGGGTGTCACGATCCTGGAGCCCCAGTGATCTATCCTCTTTTCCGTCTCCTCTCCTCTTGGCTGGAACTTTTCCCTTCACTTCTCCCTTGTGGTTTCTCTCTACGGAGTTTGGGGCTCGTCACGAGAGGACTGGGAACAGACCTTGTCTCTAGTTTTCGAGTGGCGAGAAAACTGCCCACGTGTTTGCCGTGCGTGGAGACCCGTGTCGCTGGAAAGGAGGGTCCTGGTAGTTGAGGGGCGAGGTACTGTCCCCAACACACTGCTTTGGCCTCTGCTTCAGCTAAACGGGAGGCACCTTAGTCGTCCTCACGGGTGTCAATCGGCTGGTCACTAGTCCTTGTGTCAGTGGCTTGGGGTCAAGCTCTCGGGAGTACCTGCTTTCGGGAAAGCCGACTGTGGGGCTTCAGTTTGCGTATAGGTCCGGCTAGCCCTAACACAGGAATCTGTGTTCCCTTGTTGGGCTCCGTGGTGGGCGGGGCCGTCGGACCCGAATCTTATATTCTTCAATCATGGCTAACTCTCACATTTACCTTATTAAAGATTTCGAAGTAACTCCAGTTACTCAAAGTCACTCAAACCTAATTCTGAAAAATCTACTGCTAAAAACTACGTACAGATGAAAATAAATCCAAATATAACCCCCGTTTCCTAGTCATCTCTAGTCCTTCTGGCGAAATGCATAAGATGTCTCCTTTCGTAATAAATAAATACATCCAGTCCTGTATTGGTGAGCCGAGAAATATAAAGCGTCTCCGCTCCGGAGACTTGCTTATTGATACAATTCACTCAGCCACCCAGTCTGCTTCTTTACTTCAGAGATTAACTAAACTTGGGCAAGCGAATGTCACTGTAACAGCACATAAGTCACTGAATTATTGTCGTGGTGTAATCTCGGAATTCGACCTTCTGTATGTTTCCTGAAGAAGAGATCGCTTCCGAGCTATCCTGACCAAAATGTGCGGTGTAAGGCGGATCAAGATGCGTAAAGAAGGTAAGTTGATAGACACGAAACACGTGATCCTTACCTTCAACACGCCTGATCTGCCTAAGAATATTAAGGCTGGGATATCTAAATTGTCCTGTAAGACCTTATATTCCAAACCCTATGCGATGTTTCCAATGCCAGCGTTTCGGCCATTCTAAGACGTCTTGTCGTGGCAGCCTCACATGCGCCCGATGCTCACAGATTGGCCACGATTAGCTGAAAATTGTACCGCTGCGCCTTGTGTATAAATTGCAAGGGTGACCACCCAGCATTTTCACGCTCCTGCCCAAAATGGAAATCCGAAAAAGAAGTGCAGACTTAAAGTTACTAGGAAAATCTCGTATGCCGAAGCCAGAAAACTAGTTCCAAAGCACACAGCTTCAATCAAACAATCATATGCCAGTGCTGTTAAATCAACACGTAGCATTGCCACCCAAACATCAATAGGCACAGACCTACCAAATAAAACCCATCAACCTGCAAGCAAACAAAAAAAAGGAAAATGCAAACACATAATAACAAATAAAGAAATAGTTATTCAAAGCAAAACCAAAAAAACTGTCCACTAAAAATCAATTAAAAAAATAGAAGTCCCAGCAATAGCTCTTGATGAAATGATTTCTGAATCTGCGGATTCAGACTTAGTATGGAAGTAGAAGAGGGTCTGGAAGTTCCCAGGCATCTACTTCCCCGCGAAAAACAAAAAAGCAACACAGAAACAACAAACACCAAATTCATAATGGCCACCCTCGTCTCATGGAACTGTCGCGGTTTCCACCGAAATTTTCCTTGACATCAAAGCTATAATAAATGTTATCATCCTGTGTGCTTCGCAATACAGGAAACAAATCTGAAACCAGAACAACATGCAAAACTTCGGAGGTTTTCTTTCGTCAGGAAGGATAACCTTGCAGGTGAGCGTGCAGCAGTGGAGGTGTAGGTCTCCTCACCTCACTGGATTATCCCTCAAATGTACTTCCTTTGACGACATCCCTCCAAGTTGTCGCTACTCAAATAAATTTTGATATTGTTGTTTCAGTCGTTTCTCTTGTATTTGCCTCCAAATGAGCACATTGATCAGCAAGATTTAAATGGTCTTATAGAGCAGCTGCCTGAGCCTTTCATCATAATAAGGAGATTTTAACGGCCATAGTCCGCTCTGGGGTAGTAAAGATACAAATTGCCGAGGAAGACAAATTGAGCAGATGATCGAAGATCATAGCCTTTGTCTCCTGAATAATGGGCAGAAAATATGGACTTCCATGAGCCTTCCATGAGCCTTCAAGGACATTCCACGCTCTCGATCTTGCCATCTGTTCACCATCTCTGTTGCCATTTTGCACTTTTAGTGTCGGAAATGATCTGTACAACAGCGATCATTATCCCATTTTTGTATCTCTTGCACGAAGAGGAGCAAACCCCATGTCGAGATCCCCTCGATTCATACTGGACAGGGCAGACTGGGAACTCTTCTCTTCCATTGCAGAGCTCACACAGATGAAATGGTAGAAGATGCGCATATCGATGACGCTGTTGAAGCTGTTACTAATA